TGGCGGCCGCCATTTCCGTTTTGACCCATAACGCTATAAAGGTGATAGCGGACGTAACGGGTCTGGGGCCAGTTTTGGGCTTCAAACTAGGCCCAACAAGTATGCCCTAATGGTTTTAGGGTTGAAGAATGAGAAGCCACGACAGCCACCCACCCAAACGCAGCTCATCTACCTTCAACCAGTCTCCGATGACGTTCCTCCGCTGTCGCCCACCACTCGCTGGTCATCTCTCTGACCGGCGACCTGAACCGCGGTGGTCCACGACTCCGACAAACTGAACCACAACGCGCGCATGAATAGGACCTATGAAATTCGAAACCACCTTTGATCACTGTCGTTCACCGTCGCCCACCACCCCTTGGTCACGTTTTTGGCCGGCGACCTGAATCGTGGTGGTTTTGCACTCCGGTTCACTCCGGCGAGCAACTCCGGCGAGTTAAAACCTAACAGTTTTTTTTTTCTCCAGTTTTAATCCTCCTTCTTCCTTTATTTTTTTCCTACTCCTTTGAGTCCTTTCTTCATTTTTAATGAGTTGGTTGCTGCATCTGCAACAAGAATTTTTTTAATCTTAATTCTTCTACTAATTGGGTCAAATTAAATTTCTATTTTTTTTATAAATTCTAAAATAATATTGAGTTCCTATTTTATTATTGTTCCTATTTTATGAAGAGAATGATTATATTGAGGAAGAGGAGGAGAATGATGATGATGAGAAGGATGATTAGATTAGCAAAATGCTTCTTGTACTCTTGTTTTTCTATGTTTTTTGTTGTGTTTTAATCAATTATGTTATGAGACTTAATGAATTATGGTATTGTTGTTATGATATTTAAGTATTTAAGTTGATATTATGTTGCTTTTAATTTAGTTTTGTTACTTGTTATTTATTGTTTTGCTATTTTCTTTGTATATAATATATATAAATATTTTTATTATTAATTTTTTTTTTGTCCGCCATAGGCCGCCATGGCATCCGCCATAGAGTTATAAAGGATTTTTGGCCTCACCGCCATAGACCGTTATCCGCCATCGATAACCTTGCCTACAGCAGATTTACATGGAATTTATAAGTCTGAAACATTGTCTATTTCTAAACAGTTTCATTCAATGGCTGAAAACCAGTTTCAATTACCTATTAAAGCTATAAAACTCAAAAATACTTTGCTGCAGTTTCAGTTTAAAGCAAGTATATGCTATCCTTCCTTGTTTCAGTTGCTTGTTTACACTATGACTAGTAACAGTGCAGTGATCCATATCTTGGTGTATGTGAATGATATCATCATCACTGACAGCAACCTATGCTACTTCAATTCATTACAGCTCAATTGAGTTCAGTTTTCTCCCTCAAAGACTTGGGTAATCTAGATAACTTTTTTGGTATTGAAGTCAAAGAAGTCTGATGGTTCTTTGCTTCTTACTCAAAGCAAATACATTGCTGTCTAAGACTAATATGGAAATCGCTAAACCTATTTCTTATCCTATGATTGTTGGATGCAAACCTTCTAAAGATGGCTCAGATTATGTTACTGATGTTACTCATTACAGATCTATTGTTGGAGCTCTGCAGTATGCCTCAATCACAAGACCAAAAATTAGTTCAGTAAATAAAGTATGTCAGTTTATGTCTCAACCTTTGGAACCTCATTGGACAGCAGTCAAGTCAAGAGAATATTAAGTTACCTAATAAAAATTATCTCCTGGGGGATTCATTTACAGCCTGCAACTATGTCTCCTATTTCTCTCCAATAATCATCCTCTTTTACTCGGACATTGTCAATCAACTATTAAAGAGTAAAAGTTCCGTGTAAAAAATAAACTTAAACTTATCAAGACTATCAGATATCCTAACAAATATCATAAACCACTAAACCTCATGCAATATACATCATGGAAAAATTGATTACTATCTAAATGCATCTGAGATAAAAATATATTTGCAGACAAAGAAAATAATAGTAATATCAATACAATCAGCTTGTAATGGAAAAAAAAAAAAAATTAATGTGCAGTATCTCAATAAGGGAAGGGAAGGCTACTAAAAAATATCTTGAGCAATTTTTTTCAACTGTAAAACTATCCATAATTTTCAGGAAATTGCAAAAAAAAAATTCAGGAAAATCTTTAACTATATTAAAACTAGAAGTCTTCAGTAGCATAATCAACACCTTATATTTATCCTGATTTTTCAAGTAGATTGTCAGAGCACCATGCCCACCCATTGAATGACCAAATATAGAAGCCTTTGATGTTTCAAGCTGTGGAAAATTATCACTTAGAAGCTTTGGCAATTCCTTGACAACATAGTCATACATGCGCCAATTCTTCCATTTCTCTTGAGTGGCATTGAGATAAAATCCTGCACCTGTTCCAGAATGTATGTGCAATTAAGATATCTTCTGTAAAAAAAAAATGCATATTGCACATCTCAAGTTAACTCTTGGCATAACAATTTAAATTATTCCACACAACATTCACATCTTTTGATCAAAAATTAGCTTTTTTTTCTTTTAAAATAAGGAGAATGAAGCACAGATATCACAATAGGGAGATATTCGGGAGAAGATAAACTTTTCATTTGTTTCATTCTTATACATCATGATTCATTAGTACACTATAGATTTTCTATACATCATGTTAAAATGCTCTAGTAACAACCACTTCTTATAATTGGTGCCTTCCATCTTCGCATCCATGTCCAACAGCACTAGATAAACTTTTAGGCTGTGAGTAGTGCACTACCATAATAACCTTTGGCATATTATGTTGAAGTCATGGTATGTAGAGAATTTAGGTGTGGCATCTTACAATTTCAATGTTTTTTTGTCAGTTTATGAAATAAACACGCATACTGTGTGATAAATTCCCCCATCTGATTAGTGTCATTCGCCATTTCAATTTGGATTGATCATCCTTTTATATTCCTTTGACCATTCACGGTTGAAGTGCACCAATCAGGTTGTTTGTGATGAATTTCTTGTGTGAGAATAGTAAGAGCTATTACTTCTCTAATGGCTTCAATCATTGATTTCTCACAAAATGTTAACTAAAGTCATTGGTTGCAAGAATTCTTGGAAACTTTGGGATAAAATTCACTTGTTTTTCCACTCACACCAACGCTAGGGCTCATCAATTGAGAACAGAGCATAGCATCACTCTTGAGGATTGACCGATTTCTGAATATTTTCATCATATCCAAGCTTTGGTCAATGAAGGTACTGCCATTGGTGATGCAATTTCGCTAAAATCACACCTTGATTTGCAAATTGAGGGCTTATCTCGAGAATATGAGTTCATTGTTGCTCTCATCCATAGTAAGTTTGATCCTCTAACAACTGATGGACTTGAAGCCCTACTTCTCGCTCGTGAAGCATGAGTTGAGAAATTTCACAAGAAAACTCTCATTTCTATCAACATTGTTACAACCACACTGCTAAATTTGAGTGCTCCTTAACAACCACAAGTGAATTTCATTCAGCATCATGATTCGAATGACTCTTATGGCCAACAATGTGGTAGAGGTGGCAAAAGAGGATATGGCACAAGGATCCTAGTGATCAAAATCAGGTTGAGTGCCTAGTTTGTTACAAATTTGGCCAGGATTATCATCATTTTTGAACCTCACTACTTTGCCAGCAGACATTGAGTCCTATGCCTATAACTATACTGTACAGACTCAATGGGCTACTCCACCAACTCTTCCTTCTTAGCCCGTAGTTGTATCCTCACATTCAGGTTTCCAGTTTAATGACCATATGCCACTAACCCAAGGTTATTGATAACAGATAACAGTTTATGGAAGTGAGCTGAAAATCCTTCATAAACATATGGCGGACGCCATGGCGGCCTATGGCGGACAAAAACAAAAGAATATATATATATATATAAAAGGGCGGCCCAGTGCACGAGGCTCCCACCTAGTGGGGTCTGGGGAGGGTAGATGTACGCAGCCTTACCCCCGCAAGCGGAGAGGCTGTTTCCAGGACTCGAACCCGTGACCTCTTGGTCACTAAGCAGCAACCTTACCGTTGCGCCAAGGCTCACCCTCTTAATATATATATATATATATATATATCAGAAAAAAAATGCATAACAAGCAGCAAAAATAAATTAAAAACAACATAGTATCAACTTAATTAGTTAAATATCATAACAATGATATCATACTACATTAAGTCTCAAACATAATTGATTAAAACACAACAATAATGCTAAAAATAACAATGTTTCCATCCTATGTCTGTCCTCTTAATAAAGTTTAAGGATGTTTGACTTTGGTTTGGGTTGCTAGACATTGTCCTAAAAATAAGAATAGGAACAATACCAAAATAGGAACAAAATGTTAGAACTAAAAATAAATTCACGAACATACTCGCAAATGAAGAAATGTTGATGGAAGATGCATAAAAAAAAGAATGAAAAAATATGCATCAATAGACATAGATGAAGAATAGATGAAGGAAGAAGTAGGATATAAAATGAAAAAATAAATAAATAAATAAATAGAAAATAAAAAATAACTTGCTAGATTTCTCAGAGATGTTTGCTGGAGTTGCTCGTCGAAGTGTTGGGCCACCATAATTCAGGTCGTCAGACGCAAAGGTAACTGGAGACCAGTGATTGGAGTTGAACGAAGGTGACCAAAGAGGTTTACAAACCTAGTGCAGATTTCGTGTGACCTCCTCTTAAATGCAGAACTTTGCGCCTACGAGGGAAAAGTGAGACAAGCCAAAAAACATAAGGGCTCACTCCATTTGGGCTTGGGTCAAAGCATAAAAATAGGTTTTTCCCAAAAAAAAAAAAAAAGAAAGAGAGCCATCATGACCGCTGTAAAGCTTCACGCCGCCATGGCCATGGCAGGCACCATAATGGAAATGGCAAACACTGCCATAAACCTTCATAAAATGATAGCGAATGGCGGTTTGGACCTGAACCACAATGTTTTTCCGTTATAACGAATATTTGACAACATTGCATTAACCCTGCTCCATCAGGACCCAAGCATCAGGACATGCTTACAGGAATCAATTCTGATCCTAACTCAGTCATGTCATTTCTCATCAATAGTATCAGTCATCTTGATTCTAGCACAGCTCATAATGTCACTTCCAATGCTCAGAACATTCAGCAACAAACAAGTCCCCTTTGAAATGGCTAAGGCCTAAACATCAGCCCCATAGGTTCGACCAAATTTTATTCCTCTCTCAATCCCAAAGTCACACTTTCCCTCACAAATTTACTTATGTTCCGTTCATAACTAACAATCTCATCAGCATCGATTAATTTGCAAAGGATAATTCTCTGTTTTTTGAACTTCTTTTTAGTGACTTGTGGGGCCTAACTCCCCTGTCTTCTAGTTGTGGTTTTCATTACTACATTTCCTTTGTAGATACATACACTAGTTTCACTAGGATTAATCATCGAAAACAAAAAGTGAAGAGCATTAGACATTTTTAAACAATTTCAATCTATGATGGGAGTACAATTTAATATTGCTAATTGCTATTAAATCTGTTCAAATTCAAACTGGCCAGGGTGGGGTATTTATATCCTTTTTTCAAATTATCTTAAACAATTAGGACATTCATGAACGCATCTATCCACATAACCATCATCAAAATGGAGTTGTTGAATGCAAGCATAGGCACATTGTTAACCACAATAACAAGAATAACAATAGTAAAACAGAAAATTAAAAAAAAAAAAAAAAAATACATGTTTTCAACCACTTATATGAAGCAACAACTTCACAAAAAAACACACATCCAAGTCATAAAAAAGGATCTAACATGTATACCATTGATAGAGGAATACTAGAGGAGGAGACCAAGGATGAGGAAGAGGACTTGCAAGGACTTAAGATGGAGGGACCAATGACTAGAGCAAGGACCAAGAAAAATCAAAAAGAGCTCACCCAAAGGCCATGACACTAAGTCAAGCAACGCAAGCCAAGACAATGGAGGAAGGGAAGCCAAAGATGATTTTGATGCTTCAAATTGAGAAGTTCCAGCAAGATGGAGGGCACTTAGAGTGCAAAGTTCTGAAAAGGATCATTTTTCAAAGCGCACCATAGGAGGGAACTTAGCATGCAACTTCTCGAAAGGAAACCATTGGTAGGGAACTTAGTGCCATGTAGAATGCTTAGCACACATAGGGCCGAAATTTTACCCTGTTAGGGCACTTACACGCCACTTTTTGAAAGGTCTAGCGTAGTTGTGCATTTGAGCACGTTCTTTGAATGTATTTGGGTCATGTTTTGTATCATGGGTCCCTTAAATTTCTTAAATTGTGCTAGGGGTCTAGAGGGGTATAAATACTCTTGTAACAAATCTTGTAAACACTTGTCATAATTGATATTGAGATTAACCATTGTGCTTAAATGTGAGCTTAGTGCTTCTGGTGGTTCTTTTCTAGAACATTTGATTCTTTTCAAGGATTACTAATCCTTTGGGGCAAATCCTCCTTCAACCCATCAATCATCCATGATTGTGGCATTGTTCATCCAATTCTCCATCAAACACTTTTGTTGTAATTGAGATTGAGATTGAGATTAAGCTATGTGCTTAAATGAGAGCTTAGTACTTCTCTTGGTTCTTCACTAGAACATTCAACTCTTATCAAGGATCACTAATCCTTCAGGGAAAATCCTACTTCAACCCATCAATCTTCCATGATTCTGGTATTGTTCATCCAATTTCACTTTTCACTTTTTTCTTCTTGAATGTCCTTCAATGGTGGTGATTGGAATCCATTATGGAACAATCCAATTCAAGCAATCAAGGCTACAACTTCTTGAAGTAGATTTACTGCATGTTACATACAGACCTTCAATATTTCACAACTTATATTACTATGGGTACCACTAATTCATGTGTGAACATTAAAAGGCCCATGCAGTTTGGAGGTGTAAATATTTTGAAATGCATTGTAAATTTGACATTAGAACCAAGTTAGGCATGCACATGGTAATGGACTTCTCTAAACAAGACTGCAATTCATCTAGCCTTGGATAATTTTCTTCATGGAAATAAGCACCTATACACTTACATTATTATCACAAGTGTATAAAAATGTTGTTGCTTTTCTACTGCTATGAAACAACTTTTGATAAAAAGATATTCCGAAGATCAGGATTTTCATTAGCAATCATCATAATATTTCAAAGCTCAAAAACTCAAGAAAATATGAGAATTAACAAAAAGAATTTAACTTAAGCAAACTAGTTGTAACAAGTTAAACCAGGACTTTAATTCACCCCCACACCAACCAAGGTTAAATGTTTAACAATGAAAATCAAAATATCTGAATTTTGCAACAAGATATAACAATGAAATATACTGTCCCTTACTCTATGGATTTATGATCAAAGATTTAAAATTTATATCATAAGTTCTACATCTAATCTCAAAATTCCCATAAAGACTGGTACTTAGAAAGAAAACATAACAAGAAGGAGAAGGAAAAAAGCTATAATTAATGTTGTGAATGAGAGCCATGTTCATTAAGAATAAGGAATAATAGCCTTAGAGAACAAACAATAGCTTTTACTCCCCTTTACAGACAAGTCTCATAAAAACTTATTAGGTTGGTTTATTGCCTGAGATCTCTCCCACTGCTGTGTTGTTGAACGAATTGTATTAGCAAAAGTTCTTTTTATTTATACATATAAATTCCTTCCAAAAATATAGAATTAGATAATTAAAAATAGTACTTCAATATGCACAATATATTCATCACCAAGTGAAAAACAACAGTGAAAGCTTAGCCAGTGACTGACAAACAACAGTGGTAGAAGAAAACAGAACATTTATTATAAGTCTAGCATCATACCTAAATAGCATTTTCAATAAATTCAACATTCTCATATGACAAACAATCTGCTAGACTAAAAGTAAGGCCTCATCCCTATGCCCAACAAAGTCAGGCCCAAGGATCGGTTAAGGCCCATCCTTATTCAAGACCCAAATATAAAGGCCTTGTGTGGCATACCTACACCAAGGTCCCAGCTGTCTGCTTCTCCTTCCACATTCAAGCCTCCTGCATCATCAAGACAAAAACTGAGAACATATTGAAGCTTAACATTTTAACAACAAAAGGAGAAGTAGAAACTCCAAAACCAATAAATTCTAAGTATATAATTTTTCATGCCTAAATTATTCATTTAGTCTCTATAGGACACACGTGACACTCATTTAAGAACCAGTCCTTGTAAAGTTTTAGTTTCTATACACTCTTATTAGTACCCAATTAGTGATCCCTGATGGTACGATGCTTCTTGAGTATTTGACACAAACTTCAAAAACATAGTGGCAGCACAGACCAATGTGTACTACTAAGGGAGTATAGAGACTGTGCAGGGAATAATGATTAATTTAACCTTTTCTTATTCAAAGCTTCGTAGGTAGAAACCATAACAAGCTTCATTTGGGGAATGAATAAAATAAAACCATCAATTTGTTCCATGTCACCTCATCTAAATAGTCATTAAATCGCGGGGATGCATTCGGATTTGGTTGTACCCCGAATAAGCGTCGAGAAAGGTGAGAATCCTATGTCTTGACGCACCGTCAACCAATCGATCAATGTTTGGGAGCAGGTAAGCGTCCTTCGGGCATGCCCTATTGAGATTAATGTAGTCGGTACACATTCTCCATTTGCCATTCGGCTTTTTCACCATTACTACGTTCGCCAACCACGTAGTATACTGAACCGAATAAACCTAGCATCAAGTAATTTTGCAACTTCTGCTTCTACTGCAAGTTTTCGCTCGGTTCCCATTTTCCTTTTACGCTGAGCAACCGGCCGAGCCTCAGCGCATATTGATAACTTGTGACACATAAAGTTTGGGTCAATCCCAGGCATGTCGAAAGGTGTCCAAGCAAAAAGGTCCTTATTCCGAGTGATCACATGACTTAGGGCGGAACGATCGTCCTCGGATATCTCGGCGCCTATATACGTAACCTGAGTGGAGAGTGAACCGAGCTGTAACTGAACTTTTTCTTCTACTGGTTGTACACGTTCTTCGTCATTCATTCTCGGATCGAGATCCCAAGTTACGGGCTCGTCTGATGCCGAATGAGTGATAGCATGAACCCTCTTTGATTTTGATTGTCGTTCCTCCACCGGGGATATTCGCAAACTAGCGAAGTAACACTCTCGAGCAGCCTTTTGATCAGCATGGATAGTAATGATCTTTCCTTTGTCGGATGGGAATTTCATTGCTAGGTGTGGTGTTGAGACAATCGCTCCCAGCATGTTTTGTGAGGGGCGGCCGAGGAGGATGTTATATGACGTGCTGGCGTGTACCACGATGTACTTCACTTGAATTTCTCTGCTCTCCTGTTCGTCAAAACAAAAACGAGTAAAGAGATTAATATACCCCTTAGTACTTACCCTTTCACCTGAAAAATCGACAAGGGGGTCATCATATGGGATTAACTCCTTTTCCGAAATACCCAACTGTTTGAAGGTATTCTAGTATAGAATGTCCGCGAAACTGCCTTGATCGATTAACGTCTTCTTGACTATGCAGTTATGAATTTCTACGCTGATCACCATCGGATCGTCCTGCTTCAGGTCAATACCCTGAAAATCGGCATCTGTGAAAGTTATGGTTGGCAATCTTCGGGAAGGTTGCCTCTCCACGACATGTACCGATCGGATAGCCCGCAAGTGCCTCTTTTGGGCTGAAGAAGTAGAGCCCCCGCCCGCAAATCCTCCTGCGATTGTATTAATCACCCTTCTACGCGAATATGTCGGGTCGTCTTTCCTGTCCCGTGACCTGCTTCGTTCACGCCGAGGCCTCTCAGCTTGGTCCTGAGTTCGCCGATCTTGGTTTCGAGGCTGATATGAAGAGCGACGCCGAGAAGAATCTGATCGATCGATGAAATTATGAAGCTGGCCTTGTTTGATCAAGTCTTCAATTTTATCCTTCAGGGCGGCACACTCCTTTGTGGAATGACCCCGATTGCGGTGATATCGACAAGATTTGCTGGTATCAGCGCGTGGTGGAGTGGATGCCCTTTTCGGCACTGCCAGAACTTCCGATGAGAGAGCTTGTTCCAGTACTGCTGCTCTACTAGCATTCAGGGGTGTATAATGAGAGTATTTTGGTCCACGAACGAGTCTATCTCTTAATGCTATCTCTTTACCTCGACCCCTGAAGGTTGTTCTACTTGTTTTTCAGCCTTACTCACTGGTTCGGCTCTGGATTGATTACGATATTCTGCCAACTCTTCCATTTGCATATACTTGTCAGCCCTCCTTCGCAGGTCATTCATGTCCGAAGGAGGCTTTTTACAAATGCTATTGACGAACGGTCCCGGCTTTAAAGCCGTTGTGAGGTGGTGGAGCGCTACGGCCGGATTGAGATCTCGGATTTCCAAGGCTGCCTTGTTGAACCAATCCATAAATGTCCTGAGCGATTCCTTTTTGTCCTACCGAAGGCTGACCAGCGATAAAGAAGTCAAGCTATGGGGACGACTCGTTGCGAATTGAATGGTGAACTGGGCGGATAACGTGTTGAACGAGTCGATTGAATTGGGGGGTAGCAGAGTGAACCAGCTCAAAGCCCTGCCTTTGAGAGACGTCGGGAAAATGCGACACAAGGCAGCGTCGTCCGTGGTGCTCAAGGTTACCTGCGTAAGAAAAACATCAAGGTGTTCATCAGGGTCGGTTGTACCGTCATATTTATCAATGGGTAATGCTTTCCAATTATCGAGCAAGGATAGTTGCATAATAGAAGGTGTGAAAGGGTGGCGATGCGATCCAATTGTTGCCAAGTCAGTGGGACGGCCGACTGTGGGCAAAGCCGAAGGGAGTTTTTCTGGTGCGGCGGCCGAACCATGTGGAACCGATGTGTGGACTCCATGAGACTGGTAAGACCCCTGTGTCTGAGTATTGGTGGGCTGAGTAGGTTTCCATGAAGGGTCTGGATTTTTTCATTAAAAACAAATTTCTCCAAGACAACCTTGCCAAGGGTTGATTGACTATTGTAGGGAAGTTTTTAAAACTAATTATGTAAATGAGACTTGTACTAGTAGGGTCACTCGGTCACCAGTTAGCCGACACCCAATCGGCACTTGAACAGCCGAACTAGGTAGCCGATACCTAATTGGCACCCAAATGGCTGAGTCAGGTGGCCGATCAGACATCGGCCACTAGAATAACCCAGATCCTCAATCAGGAGTGTAAGATTATCCCTAATCAAGAGTTAAGAGATAATCATATCCATAAGCTGATTAAGGACGTATTACCTAATACGATATTCGTCACGGGGCCCAAGGTCACCAGGGCCCATGGATGTCAGTATAAATAGCTCACGTCAAAAGGTAACGTCACTGTTCATTAATTATCATCGATATTTGTGCTTGTTCTGACTTGAGCGTCGGAGTGCCTTCTGCAGGTATCTCCACCCCCGGCTTACCGAAATATTCGATCGGAGTAGTCGTTCGACCCTCAGAATACAAGAAGATTACTGGTGTATCCTTTTGACAGGTACATTTTGGCGCCGACCGTGGGGCCGAATTGAGAACGACTTGAAGACTTGACAAAGAAATGGCGAAAACAAGAAGAACAAACACAGAAGACCACCAGACTGAAGAGGAACATGTGGAGGTAGTAGATGAAACCGATCTATCTGAGACCGTTCGTCTACTGAAACAGGAGATGGAGGCTATGAAACAACAGCGGGAAAAGGACGCGAAAGAGCTTTCGGCCTTGAGGGCTGAAAATGAAGCACTGAAAAATCCAGACCCTTCATGGAAACCTACTCAGCCCACCAATACTCAGACACAAGGGTCTTACCAGTCTCATGGAGTCCACACATCGGTTCCACATGGTTCAGCCGCCGCACCAGAAAAACTCCCTTCGGCTTTGCCCATAGTCAACCGTCCCACTGACGTGGCAACTATTGGATCGCATCGCCACCCTTTCACACCTTCTATTATGCAACTGTCCCTGCTCGATAGTTGGAAATTATTACCCATTGATAAATATGACGGTACAACCGACCCTGATGAACACCTTGATGTTTTTCTTACGCAGGTAACCTTGAGCACCACGGACGACGCTGCCTTGTGTCGCATTTTCCCGACGTCTCTCAAAGGCAGGGCTTTGAGCTGGTTCACTCTCTCAGGACATAATCTGCTTGTGCTGAATCAAGGCATTTTAGTAGTGGTGTGGAGAAGCCCCTTCGGTATAATTCTCCGCTAACAACCGAGTATCTGGCTGCCTGCGTTCGGAGCTTTTTGGTGGCGGACGAATCAGTTGGTTGTTTGCCCTTTTCAATATAATCCATTATCTCGGTTATCCAAGTTTGTTGGGGTTCATTAACCGGCATACATTCAACTGGGTTGACACTAAGAGTTGCGAGGTCGAGATGAAGAGTAGTTCGAAGCTGCCCCGGTTTTCGACTACTGCTAGCCAACCGAGCTAGCTGATCGGCACGCTCATTATGTTCTCGGGGGGTATGCTTGACCTGGACTTCATCGAAAGTGTTGCGTGTGTTCTGAAACAAATGGTAATATTTCAATAAGTTAGAATCTTTCACCTAAAAGTGATCATTGACTTGCTCCGAAACAATCTTCGAATCTGTCCAACACAATACTCGCCGAGCCCCAACCTCTTGGGCGAGTCGTAGCCCCGCCAATAATGCCTCGTACTCGGCTTGATTATTTGAGGCCTTGAACGCAAATCGCAAGGACTGTTCGAGAATCAACCCGGTTGGTCCTTCAAGGATTATTCCTGCTTCGCTACCTTGGCTACTTGAAGATCCGTCCACATGCATTGTCCACAAGTCACTCTCAAAGTGGCCTTTTGGCTGTAATTCGTTTACAAAATCGGCCAAGCACTGGGATTTAATCAGGCCTCGCGCCTCGAAAGTTATATCAAACTCCGAAAGCTCAATTGACCAGGCCATCATTCGCCCAGCCAACTCTGGTTTGCGCAAAACCTTGGCAATTGGGCAGTCAGTTCGGACGACCACATGATGACTTTGAAAGTATTGCCGGAGACGACGAGCCGTGTGAACGAGTCCGAGCGCCACTTTCTCCAGGAGTTGATACCTTGTTTCTGCTTCTTGTAGCATTCGGCTAATAAAATACACCGGCCGTTGCACGTCATTTTCTTGCACTAAGACGACACTTATGGCTTCATTCGACACATACAAGTACACCACCATGTCTGCCCGAGGATCGGGCTTAGAGAGAATGGGGGGGAGCCGAGACGGTGCTTCAAATCTTGGAAGGCCTCTTCACAACCGACAGACCATTCAAATTTCTTGACTTTCCTTAACAAACCTACAATAGGCTTTGCGAGCTCTGCGAGACATGGTAAAAATCTTGACAGAGATTGAGCCGCCCAGCCAACTTCTAAACTTCTTTGAGGTTTTGGGGACTTCTCATATCAATGACTGCCCGACATTTATCAGGGTTGGCTTCGATGCCCCTTGCTGACAGCATGAAGCCGAGAAATTTGCCCCCCGATACGCCGAACACACATTTTTCTGGATTGAGCCGTATGTCATATTTGCGGAGTTGACGAAATATTTCAGAAAGGTCAGCTATGTGTTGGGCGACGTCTGCCGATTTAACTACCATATCATCGACGTACACCTCGATGTTCTTGCCGAGCTGGTGTCGAAAAATTTTGTTCATCAACCTTTGATAAGTTGCTCCTGCATTTTTCAGGTCGAAAGGCATCACCCGATAACAATAGTTGGCTGTGTCGTGATGAAAGTTGTCTTCTCTTCATCGCGAGGATGCATTCGGATTTGGTTGTACCCCGAATAAGCGTCGAGAAAGGTGAGAATCCTATGTCCTGACGCACCGCCAACCAACCGATCAATGTTTGGGAGCGGGTAAGCGTCCTTCGGGCATGCCCTATTGAGATTAGTGTAGTCGGTACACATTCTCCATTTGCCATTCGGCTTTTTCACCATTACTACGTTCGCCAACCACGTAGTATACTGAACTTCCCGAATAAACCTGGGACGATATTACGAGTTGTAACTCGAGATTGACAACCATGATTAAAATAATAAAATTATATAAGTAATAGTTTTAGGGGGGTGTATTGGATTAGGATTTTAAAACACTTTTTTAATTAAAAAAAATCCTACGGATTTTAAAAGACTTTGTAGGATTTTCATGACTTTTAAGACTTTGTAGGATTCTGCAAGACTTTTAAATCAGGATTTTAATAGATTCTGCAAAACTTTTAAAAATCATGCTTCATACTCCCCTCATGCATAGAAAAATCCTTCAAATTAGTCCCATTTAGTAAGATATATCAACAAGGACTAAACTAAATTGACGAATTTTCAATACTTTAGAAACTTATTTTTATAATTCCATTAACGACTCATGTTTGTTCAGATAAACTTCTTCATAGAAAAAAATTAGGAAGAAAAATCAAAATAAACTTTTCCTTAAACTAAAATTAGACATCCATAATTCAAAAATAAGATTTCAGAAAAGCTAAAAGGATAGATTCTACAAATTCTAACAGGATAGATTCTACAAATTCTAATAAGATTTTAGAAAAGCTAACACTAACAGGATAGATTCTACAAATTCTACTTCAACAAATTCTACAAATTAACTTATGCATGAATCAATTTTACCTCCAGATAAGCTTATTTCATTTTTTTTTCCTCTTAAAAATATTTGCAGATAAATTTACTCAAACAGACCCTAATTATTACTTAGAAAACTCACGGCAAAAAAATAATTAAACAGATTCGATATACTTGGGGAAGTGTCGAGGGCAACCAATGCAACGCCCTCAGCGGAGGCGGCGCGTTGAGCACCAGCCTTGAAAATGAAGTTCTCGTCGGTGCAAGTGAGGCCGGAGAGCCAGTACAGTACCTTTCCATTCAGAACACAACGGCGTCAAATCAACGAATAGGTTAAATTGGAAGGAGAAAGGGGAAAATCGGAGGGGACTCACAGGGAATTTGTGAGAAGGAGAGGGAGAAGGGGGGAAGTAGATGTGGAAGTTCATGGAGCAGCCGAGGGTGGGGCTGAAATGCTTGAACCTCTTGTTGTAACCTCCGAACATCTTACCGCTGCTGATCTCGGTGGGCTTCGTCTCCATCTTTTGCTTCTGATTATGGCACTTTCTCGGATCAGTAGTGTGAGTGTGGATCTGCACTGAGAAGTGGGGTTTTATATCCGAGCTTTGTGATTAGTTTCTGTTACCGTTCCTTCACGGGATAATATTAAGACAAGTGTGCGGCTGCACTTAAAATATTATTTAATTTATATTTATCGTTATTTATCAAATTAATTGGTGTTGTATTTAATTTTTAAATCTAAATCTTATATTTATAAAAATATTAATTTATTATTATTTTTTATTATTTAAAAATAAAATAAAATCACCTAAAAAATATTTAGACTAAATTTGATTATCAATTATAAATTTTAATTTATAATGTAATCTATTATTTTTTAATTGACCTTTCAATTCACATGAATTTTTTCTCCAAATTTTCAAAATGAGAAACTTATTAAATGATTTAGAAAATGAAGTCTACTTTGAGAGTTACAACATGTAAAATATAAGTCGTCATTAAAAACACACTTTTTATTTCATAATTTTTTAAAATAAAAAGTTAGACATATTTTTTTATTTTTTATTAAAATTAAAATTTAAAGTTGTGTACACATTTAAAACTTTTATTTTTTTTCTACGAAATTGATAGCTTGTGTTTCAAAATCCAACTTTAAATTATATATATATATATATATATATATATATGCGTATTATATATATATTAAACAACTTTATGTGAATATTTCTAAAGTTGCGGATTTTTCACGTAAATTTTTTTAAATTATTTTTAATTAATGTGTAATACTACAAACATAATATTAATAATAAATATTAATTATAATATAAAACAATAATATTAATACTAAAGTGATATGGTGGAAATCATATATATTAATCAACATAAATCAAACACGTAGAAAAAATTAAAAGATAAATTATTATATATTATTTTCTTTAAATAGATAATTTGTGTGATTATGTCCTTCCGTCTAGCACAATAATCATTTCACAAGTTTATTTTCAATTGGTTGATTATGTTAGTTGTACATAGAATTGGTACTTGACGTGGTCTGTTGTATGACATGATTTGGCATAAATTTGAATAGGAAGAATAAGAGTTCCCATTTCCAAACAGATCATTATAGAATCAAGATCAAAGGTCAAATTTAAAAAGAGTGGAGATAAGTGGATTAAACTTAAAAGAATAATGTTTAAGTTCATCTTAAGCTTTAGTTACTTTATATAGTCTATTTCTTCTCCTTTGTTAATATTTTTTTTAAAAAATATTTTTTTTTATTTTTACCTTGTGTTTTTGGAACAAATAGTTTAAAAAATTGTTTTCTAATATTTCTCTTTTTAGGATTGTATTGACAATTTTAGGGGAAGTGTAACCAATATTTAGAAAATGTGATTATTAGACTTATTTAAGTCAATAGAGTGTGGAGAGTATTTCTCTCTAAGGTGGGACGTCCACTTTCTGGTCCCCCACACTCTCTCACTAGTTCACACATATCACCACCAAGTCACATGTTTTACACACTAATCACATTTTTGCATGGTTGCTTTTACACCATTTTTTTGCTACTACACCCTTCATCACACCTTTTACACCATGTCATGTGACAAGTTCTCATTTGTTCTTCTATATCTAGGATTGGGAGATCTATTACAAAGGGAAAATCTAAATTTGAATTTCAAATTTGAATTAGAGCTAGTCGGTTTGAGTATAAGTTAAACTAACATTGGTTATTGTTAAGTCAAAAGACGATCCCCTAATCTTGAAGTTTTAATGCTAATCTTTGAAAAGTATTTTTGAAAGGTTTATAAGATGAAGTGTAAGACGTAAATTGTTTGTAAAATGATTATTGATCAGACAAAGTATACAGTCTGTCTCATATATATAAAATATTTATTATTTATTGAAATTAATGATAAAGTTTGCTTTGAATGTTTCATTCCTTAACATATCAAATCAAAAGATTGTCTCAAAACTCACAAATTTATTAAAGAGAAGAACCATGTTTTCTACCTTAACCAAATCCCAAAAATCACAAAGAAAAGCAAATAAAGTCATTATTATAGTTACTTTATGTTGACATTGCTTCTACAAGCTCTATTTGATATGAAAAGTTGATAAGTAACCTATTTGATCAAATAAGAGGTACTATTTGGTAAAATGCATTTAATGTTCGCATTAACTATGCTAAACGATTACCTACCAACACAACACAAAGATGATGACGACAAACGAAGCAAACTTGTGAACTAGACTCAAAGTATTGCAACAATCATCTTCTTCAAAGCTACTATATAAGAAGTTTTGAAGATCAAGACAACATAGAGCTTATCATTGAAATACAAGAACATTCACAAACACATTTTTTTGCGTAGCTTTTGTCTTGTGGAAAAATCTATGTACCAAAATGTTGTTGTATTCACGTCTTACAAAGACAATTGTAACAACCTTATAATACCTTGATAATAATTGTTATATGGCAGAGCTTGGAGAGACTTGATCGTAAAAGAATATTTAGGCAGTGGCTTGAAAAGGTCAGTCAAAAAACACTTGTTGTTGAGCCTAGAGAGACTTGTTATTAAAAGAATACTTGGGTAGTGGTTTGAAGAGGTCAATCAAAGAACATTTATTGTAGAGCTAGAAATGGTTTGTGAAAGAATACTTGTAATTTTGAGAAAGTTAGTGGAAATCAATTTAGTTAGATTGAGAATTGGATGTAGTTTTTACATTTGAGATGAACCAATATAAAAATACTCAGTGTTCCATTTGTTCTTTCGATTACTTTTCCAACACTTCATCTATTACGAATACTATTTCACTCATTTACAAAAGTGCAAGTTTTTGAAATTCACCATTTAAACCCCCCATTATAGTGACTATTTTTTCTCCACAATTGGTATTAGAGCTCAACCTTTGATAAGGTTTAGCATCTAACCATGCTAAAGGAAAAAAGATCTAGATGGAAAGCAGTGAAGGTCAGTATCTACTAGAAGGAGCTTCTCTTACAAGGCCTCTAACTTTTAATGGATAAGACTATCCATATTAAAAGGATTGAATGGAGTTGTTCATCAAATCCACCTAACGCCCCTATGGAAAGTAATAACACAAGGTGACGTTGTTGTTACAAAGCTTGAGACATAATATACTCAAGATGACTATTACATATTATAACTCAATACTAAAACAAGATACATTCTTGCTTGCTTTCTATTCAAAACAAGGTACAACAAGTTCTACAGCTGGTTAATGAATAAAGAAATGTGGAATGCCATTAGGGTAACTCATGAAAGCACTAAAGATGTGAGGCTCAATAGAGCAATTACTCTTTAGAGTCACTATGAGTTATTTTCCATGAAGGAGAAGGAGACCATTGACAAGATGTTTGAACGTTTCCAAACAATTATTAATGAGTTAAAATTCTTGAGAACTAACTTTTCAAAAGCTTAGAATAATCTAAAGATCTTGGACAACTTACCCAAGGTCTGAGAGCCTAAAGCAATAACTATCTCAAAAGTGCGTAATCTTAAAGTTCCTATTTTTGATGAACTTCTTGGAGCTCTACAAGTTCATGAGGTTCACCTAAACAATAGAGATCACTTTAAAGTAAATGACACTATTTCTTTAAAGAGTGGTGAGATCAACAAGAGAAAAGAAAAAGGAAAAGTTATGAAGGTAGAATTTAAGCCTAGTAGCTAAGATATAATTCTAGGACTCCATAGATTATGAGATATCTCTCATGTTTAAGAAGTTTAAGGACATGTTAAAGAAGAAAAGAAGATTGATAAATCTCCATAGAAAGAAAGAGATATTCAACAAGTTTGGATCTTCAAATAATAGAGACATCATCTTCTACCATCCATGGAAGCCATTGAAAAAGTTTGAAGGAGTCCAAGAAGTGAAGACATGTTCATAGAAGCTTGAAGGAGAAGCTACATCAATTTTGTTTCTCCTAGATTTTCCATCATTTGGTAAGGAGTTAATGGACAAGCTCCAAAGACTCCAACGGAAAAGCCTTAGTGTAGAAGAGTATAGATAAATCATGGAGCTCTATATGATGAAGGTAGGAATTAAAAAGGAAGAAAGAACCACTATTGTTAAGTTCCAAAGTGGACTTAATCTTGAGATCAAAGATAGGGTTAAACTTTTGCTTTATAGAGATTTAAATAAACTAGTCCAACTTTACATTAGGGTAGAACAACAAATTAATAGGAAAGCTTCTCATAAGAAGGAGATGATGGAAACTCTAGGAGAAACAAAATTGATGTAGCTTATCCTTCAAACTTCTATGAATAAATCTTCACTTCTTGGACTCCTTCAAGCTTCTTCAATGGCTTCCATAGATGCTAGAAGCCATTTTCACCACACAAGATGATGAAGAGAGTCTTCTTGATGATGCCACACTCATTGAATAATGATAGGCCTTTTCAATTTCTCATGATACTCGAGAGAGGATAAAAGAAAAAGAAAAATTTAAAAGAGAGAAACAAGTTTTGAGAGAGAAAAATTGGAGATAGATTTCATCTAATTCACTATATAATACCTAAAGTCGGTACAAATATGCAATATGTAGAGTTTAGTTGGCTTATAATGCAAGTTAGATTAACAATGGTTAATTATCTTGTACTTAAGTTAACTAACTCTAGCTAAATGTCTAGAAGTCTAGTTAATTATCTATAAGCTTATGGAGAAAGCTAAGCTAATCCTAGATTAAGAATAATTTAGGTTAACTTAAATTAACTCCAACTACCTAGCCTAGTCATTACAACTATTAAACTAATGATTACTTTTAACAAGTTATTGAGATGTCACTTTTAAAGTCATGTGACTTAATTTGTAACTTAGATGACAAGCTTGGCTTGGTTTGGATGTCCAAACCACTTGCATAAGCAAGTGGACGTTCAAACATATGGGTCATAAAAAGATTTGGGCATCCAAGCCCAATAAGTCTATCATGACTTTAGCTAGTTACACCTTCCGTAAACTACTAATTACACCCTTAAGTAAAAATAATACAAGGACAAAGTAACTCACATTACTTGACCCAAAATACAAGGTCAAATTATCCTAATACAATCACTATTAAAATAAATTACAAATAGGAAAAATGTATAACAATAAGAGTCCTTTAAGGTAGGTAAACCTTTAAAGGTAGGGTACCTTACATAATAAGAATAAAGTGCCCTACAATTCTTTAAACTAACTTTATCAACCCCCACTCTTCTTGGATGTATCACTTCCAAAGAGATTCTTGGTAAGTAAGTTTCTATCAATTTATGATTGCATGCCTTTGGCAGGGGCAATTGGCCTGTAAAAACTATCCCTAGTTATTTTTCCATGTGTTTAGCCTTTGTTTGCTTTTATTATTCATGCCACATGCACCAAATAATAATTATCTTTCACTAACCACTTTTCTTATACTTTTTTGGAAAGTGTTGAACTTTTTAAATTTTTTTAATAAAGTTCTTGAGAAAAAAAAACTTATAACTAGGTGTTTCATCCTTTTATATTTTTATAATTTAGTCTTAAGAGTTATAGATTCATTTACAATATGTGAAATTTAAGATAATATTCTTTATATCCTCGTACACAAATAACCACATTACATTACTATTTTATATTTTCATTTATGTGTATCATGTTTTAATCCTCACTCATTAAAATTTTCTACCATTTCAAATTTCCTATGATTAGAAAGATTATGAGAATTTTTAAAAATAAGGATTAACGCCTATATGTACAAGGATGATGAGAAAAAATAATAATTTAATGTGACAATCAATGTGATGATATAAATAATATTATGTCAATTTCCACATATAGTAAACAAACCTTTAATTTCATGTAAATTACATAAATATAAAAAAGATAAAAAAAAATCAATTATAAATTTTTTAAGTTTAGAAACTAAATTAAAAATTCTAAAAAATTTCATGAATCAATTCATGTATTAAACCAAAATAAAATTATATAATTACAAATTCAAAGAAAAGTAAAGAAAAGTCAACAATTGTAGTCTCTCATTTATATTATTTTAAACTTTGTAAAGAAAAACATATAAAATGTTAAGAAAAATAAATTTATTATTTAAATATGTATAAAAATTATTTAAAATGTAAATATAAAATTATAAACTCTCAAAATCTTATTCATAATTATAATATTATATTAATTATTTTAATAAGATAAAAGTTACTTAATTATTTTGAATTATTTTTTTCGAAATAAACCGTACAATCATAAATTTCCAAACAAGATAAGCTCTGAACTGGCAGGACCTTACCGAGTGAGCACATCATTTCACAAGTCTCCCATTGACATTGTGCAACTAAAAATAAATTCTTTTATTTGTTGAGACAAATTTCTTGCAATAATATAAAAGATTAAATATATTTTTAGTTATTTAAATATAGACTAAATTTAGTTTTGATTTTTGAAATTTAAAATTGTTATTTTTAAAAATTTTATTTTAATTTTTCAGGTTATTAACAATACATTTAAAAATGATAGATTAAGACTGTTATATAATATTAACTAAATTTAATATTATATTTTTACTAATAAATTTACATGTAAATAAATATCATGTGATATTATTTAATGAATTTTCTAACAAATTTTGATTATAAAGACTATAATATTTATTTTTTGAAATTACAAAAATTAAAAAGATCAATTTTAAATTTAAAAAATTAAAAATAAATTTACTTTAATTTTGAGAAATTAAAAACATACTTAAACCTAATATTATTAAACAAATAATTTTAAATTTCCTCGATAATAAATATTCTCACATTAAATTTTAAAATTATGAAATATCATATAAATCCTTATAATATCAAATAACATTTTAAATTTATGTATTTATTATCATTTTGGTGATATATATATATATATATATATATATATTAATATTGCCATCTTAATTACACTTTTTTCTAATTTTAAATTAATATGATTGTTAATTGAATTTTACGTATAAAAAATATTGTTGAGAGGAAAAATCTTACCAAAGATAATAATTAGATTTTTTAACGATTAGTTACAAATAAAATTGATAAATACTTCATACCAATAATATAATTATTAAAAAAAACTAATATAATTATTAATTTGTCTTTTTAAAAACTTGTTTGAGATTTTGTTAGTCATAAAACTAATATAATTGTATCTTTTTAAATTTTTGATTATTTTTAGCTAAACAGTATCAATTACTTCCATTATTCTATAATATCTCAATTTAAGATTTTTATATATAAAATAAAAACAACAATAAATATATCATTTTTTTAATTAATTAAAGTAGTTCATCTTTTAATAAATATGTTATTTTCAATTGTCGAAGTTGAGTAATGTATTAAAGAGCAATTTTTTTTTTAAAAAATATAGTTAATATTATGTTACGGTAATATCATTTAATTTGAAATATGTTTTTAATATTGAAACTGTCGTGACTGTGGGTATAAAATTAAGTTGAAAATTTCTCATTTATACGTGATATTCTAAGATATCTCTAATAGCTATAAGATGAAGTAAAAAAAATTTATTGGAATACCCAACTGCATTTGGGGCACGTCACATGGAACATGATCAAAGTCATCCAATATTAATGAACCATCCAGGGAAGTTGGTAACAGCCACGAACCTTTAATGCCATGCCTGTAGGCTTCAACCATACAGCTTCATTACATTACACTTGCACCCTTTTCTCTCTCTTATTTATCTCTTTCTGTCTATGGCAAGACCAATGTGAACTAGCTTCTTCTAGTTTCAGTTCTATTTGCACTTTTTTACTTTGTATGTTCAACTTCAGTAGCATTTCAATGCAATATTTCTCACACAATTTTAATTTTTCTTTTTGTTTCTGGTGAGCCTTTTTCCCTTCAACAAGGTCGGCTCTTGCATTTAAAAACAAAATATTATGGTGACTAAGGAAATCAACCCTTTGGTTGAATAGACACAACTTCGGAGTTCCCACACAAAAAGTTAAGGGTGTGATGTATTTATTTTGTTTTTTTACTGGTTCTTGCTGGGTAGATGAGCAACCATAGACGGAGAAAACAAAGCTACATTTGTTTTTGAATTTTATATTTTGTTTCTTTACTTCTGGTCTTTAGGCATAGGCATGTGCACTGCTTAGAATGCCAAAAAAAGGACAATTATTGTTAGTAATGGTATGACATATTTCATGCATTCCTCTATTTCAACTAGAGTTTGGAGTTGGAGAAGCTTTAGGTCAGAAAATCTGGAAAGGAAACCCCAAATATTAGTTAGTTCAGTTTTTGGTCCAGCAAGATCCACCAAAAAGATTTGATTCTCCAGTTCATTTTACATCTTATTGGTAACACAAGCCTCTGATCAAAAGGGTCAAGTTCAGTAGTTGAGTTAGAGGAATGTGAAAGGCCTAAGATTTAGGGGGGGTCATATAGGAGTGTGTGTGATGTGTCATAAAAGAACTCACCCATTGAAAAGTTCATAGAACCAGAGAAGCCAATAAAGCATTGGAGATTTCATTTCAAGGCTTGTGTTTATGCATGGTGGGAAGCATCATGGGAGGGGTTAGTAATGAATACTCAAATGGATCTGTTCAGGGCTGCATTGGCTTAGAGGAGAAGCTTGATGATCTTCGTGGCCTTGTTGGAAAAGCTGATGGTGACCCTTTGAGAATTGTGAGTGTTGGAGCTGGTGCATGGGGCAGTGTTTTTGCTGCGTTGCTGCAAGATACTTATGGCCAATTTCGTGACAAGGTGCAGATCAGGATATGGAGGAGGCCAGGGAAGACAGTTGATAGAGCTACTGCAGAGCACCTCTTTGAAGTTATCAACTCAAGGGAGGATGTGTTGAGGAGACTGATAAGGCGTTGCGCTTATCTGAAATATGTTGAGGCTAGGCTTGGTGATAGGGCCCTTCTTGCTGATGAGATTCTGAAAGATGGATTTTGCTTGAACATGATTGATACACCACTTTGTCCTTTGAAGGTGGTCACAAACTTGCAGGAAGCTGTTTGGGATGCTGATATTGTGGTTAATGGTTTGCCTTCAACCGAAACAAGGGAGATTTTTGAAGAGATTAGTAAATATTGGAAGGAGAGGATCACTGTGCCTGTGATAATCTCTTTGGCAAAGGGTATAGAGGCTGCATTGGAGCCTGTTCCCCATATTATAACCCCTACAAAAATGATTAACCAAGCAAGTAAGATTTTTCTTCTTATTATTTTGTGAAAACTTTTGTCCATTCTTGTGGCTTCTCTCTTATACTTTAAAGGCAAGATTTTTCGCATACACTTGATGCAATAGAAGTAAAAGACCATCAAGGTTTTAAATTGGCATCTGATGCATTTGTTTGCAATTTTGTTAATCACAATAAAACGGCAATTGCTATTTAAAACTGTGACCCTTTAATTCATGTGGCAGAATTTTTGGAGTTAGTATGGTTGGGAGTGGTAGGAGGTGGAATTAGAAGACATATAGATGTAAACATGTTTAAGACTGTAAAGCATTGAGGACATTTTATGTGTCAAGGTTCGGGATTCATTGATATCTCACTTGTTAACATTTCTCATACAATCATACTTTTTGGTGTATGGCATACTTCATGAATAACTTTTCATCTTTTCACCAGTACAGCTAGAGACGAAGTGTAGCCAAAGAAACTTCCGCAGAGTTATTGTGAGTTTTGTTGGTGGAGATAATCTGCCTTGTTTACTTGAATGAATGTGAAACACAACCTTCCTATTCACTCCTAGCAAGTTCATTTCACTGAAATCTTTAGTTGTGATTTCATACTTAGGTATAATATAGATCAAGGATTTAGCTCCTCTTAAATCCATTCTACATACGGCTGAAAATATGATAAAATACATGTACCCACAAAATATATTATGAAGTTGTTTAAATTTCAATAGTTGATTACTCTGCACTTATTCTCTAAAGTTTATGTCACACTTTATAGGAGTGAACATCCAAATAAAATGTGATAATCCACAGGCTAGGTACTGCTGTTTGTTATCTAGAATTTATTTGACACCAAGTACTAATCAATTTAAGCTGGTAATTTAGTAGTATATCTATTTCATCTTTCCTCATTCTCAACTCATTTACAATGTATACTTTCACAGCTGGAGTGTGTATGGAGAACATACTTTATCTTGGTGGTCCAAATATTGCCTCGGAAATCTACAACAAGGAGTATGCCAATGCTCGAATTTGCGGAGCCGAGAAATGGAGGAAACCTCTGGCAAAGTTTCTACGGCAACCACATTTTATTGTCTGGGATAACAGTGACCTTGTCACCCATGAGGTCATGGGTGGCTTGAAAAATGTCTATGCAATTGGCGCAGGTATGGTTCAGATTAGTTGTTGTTATTATTAACTTTACAGCTATTGTAAGACTTGTAGTAATCTGATCTGTATTGCCATATCTTTTATGTGAGGAATGCTAGCAACAAGGGTCCATTAACTTTAATTTGACATTATTCTTTTCTTTCAAGATATTTTCCCCTTGCGTATGTTAGTTGGCTAGTTGGAAGTATACCAGTTGTCCCTTCTCCAGAAATTGTATCGAACTCTAATTTTTCATATTCAAAATATCTGAATCCATCTTTGCTATTGTTTGGTCCAATTTGCATTGAAGTGTGTTTTTCCTATGAGTACTGTACTGGCTCGGTCTCAATACTGACTACAAACAACTGTGCTAAGAATCTAAGAATGTTGTGATCTGCAAATCAAAGTTTAGCCTTATTAAAATTATAGTCTAGAGTTTATATTTATCTGGTCTAGGGTAGTGAATGAAGGTTATTCCACTACCTAACCATAAAAAATATTTATGAGTTGTGTATAAGTAAATTACTAACAATCAATCAAAGATTGGTTAAATGCAAGTTCACAGCTAGACATAGAAGAATACATGCAAGTTCAAATAAAACTCAATTAAGAACAACTGCATCAAATAATTATAATCATGTCTAGAGATCCAAAATCATATCTTACCACAAGGAAGGATTTATTCTCTCATCAATATAATCACATTAAACAATCAAGAAATAGAAAGATACTACAAAAGATGGAGAATCTTGAAACTCCTTTAATCTTTGTCTTTCTAAATCTTGCTTTGAAAAGTTTCCTCTCCTATGTGGAAGAGTTTATCTTCTATTATAGACTATCCTCCAAAAGATCTGTTTTTCTATGTAAGGGATATGAAATTTTCATTTTTCTGATTGAAAACATGGCCTAGCCGTGTTACATGGTTGAAACTACCCGGCCATGCACTTTTGGCCTCAACATTATTAGTGTCGGTGGTCTGCATAAAATCTGTAGGAATGGATTCATCTAATTTGCATATATTTCCGGTGAATATGTAACTAATTTGGTCCAAAAAATCTGGTTTCTTTTTTATTTGACAACAAAATACAAATCTTGTTTCTTCTTCCACCAAATCTCCAATCAATTGCTTCGAATATGTTAAGAAGACCTAAAATAGTATATGAAACCATTAATTCACTGTTTTTTCCTCTAATTATATAATAAGCATTTCTTATGTTTTCAAACTGTGATTCATTCTATCAGTGTCAAGAGGCTAGATCGGTTAATTCATCACTAGCATTTACTATGTTTGACAAATGACAATACACTTTTGTTTTTGTATACCCGGAAAACATAATCCCTCCTACTAGATCGACCCTTTTAGGCGTAAAGTGGTATTTCTAGTCGTAACTCTATGTTTAATTTGAAGATTGAATCCTAGTCCTTGATTTAGAAAAACAACAAGTGTCAAATCACTTGAACTAGCCTTTTGTTTACTATCGCAAGTGGCAAATTGGAAAGTTTGACTGTGATAGTAAGAGGCCCCCTTATTCATTTCCATATCTTACATTTACTTTCTGATTAACGATATCTATATACTGTCTTTCTTATTGTCAGGAATGGTAGCAGCCCTTACCAATGAGAGTGCAACCAGCAAATCTGTATACTTTGCACACTGCACATCAGAGATGATATTTATCACTCATTTGTTGGCTGAAGAACCCGAGAAACTTGCAGGGCCATTATTGGCTGACACTTATGTGACTTTATTAAAAGGTCGTAATGCATGGTATGGCCAGATGTTAGCTAAGGGTGAATTAAGCCCAGACATGGGTGACAGCATCAGTGGCAAAGGAATGATTCAGGTATGTTCTGTAACTTTCCAATCATTAGTTTCTAAATTTCTTAGGTGTGTAAGTCGCACTTCTGCAGGTACATATAGTATAAGCGCATCTCCAATAGAAGCAACTCAAATGAGTTGCTTCATGTATTGAAAAATGAAAAAAGTGATCTCGAGTGTGCCATGTCAGTATTAAGTAATTCAAACACAAATTTACTCCAATGATAAGAAACTTTAAGAAATTCAACTTTTAAAATTTTTTTTTAATCATTTATGAACTAATTTTAAATTTTTATTAAAAAGGGTAATTGTACTACAATGAAAGAAAATAAATTACGAGAAAAAATACACAATAAGTAGATATTAAAAATAAAATAAAATAATAATAAATACATAGACATTATACGAAATTAATTTTCATCATTATTATTTTCGAAACGTTCCCAAATATGTTCAATAGGATTTGCTTGAAATCTGGTAAGTAACGGTTGCTTGAGGAAGCAACTCTCTCTCTTCTTCAAGCAACTCATGTTACCACGTCAGAGTCCTCCAATGATAAGAAACCAGAACTTGAGTTACTTCATGGGACAAGCAACTCCCATTGGAGTTGCTCTAAAATGCATGAAAATGTGAATATTATGAGTTAGTGCCTCCTGGAGAAAGTGCCTTTTAGTAATTTTACTTGTAATTTAGTAGAATTTTAGTCTGTTATCAATTCCTACATATTAAATACAAATTGTAGAGTATTTTAGGGACTTTTCCTTCAACGAGAGAATTTGTAAAGATTTTTTTAACTTTTTATCTAATTCTATTTTCATTTATTATAAATATTTATGAATTAAATATTAATATTTTAAAATAATATATCAATACATAAAATAAATTTTTTGCTACAATATAAATTATTTATCATAAATTTAAAATATATTTTTTATATTTTTGTATAGAAATATAATTTATATGTTTAAAAATATATAAATATACAAAATTTAAAATATAATTTATATATTCAAACATAGTATTTATATATATAATTTATTATAAATTTTAATCAACCTTGATATATAAAACAGGAAGCACTAACTTGCACAAGAGTGTTTTAATTTTTTTTTTTTTTTTTTACGAATGTAAGGACCAGCCATAGTCCCTACACTTAATGACAAACAACTAACAATGGAAAAACTAATATCTAAGAGTTGTATGCCTACAATTATGAGAATATGTACTATATAGCTTGCATATAAAGATAAAAACAACTATTCAACAATATTTACAATATAGATATAGTAATGTAAATGCAAATTATACAATTTATGTTGTTGGTCAAGCAACTACTATTATATATACAAGAACCACCTAAAGGTAGTAATCAATAGGAACATCTAGCTTCAGCACCATTGAGTGGCATCCACTACACAACTTCATACCTATTCCTACCTTATTCTCATATTACGTATGATCATCGCAATCCAAACCACATGAAAACATGCAAGTGTAAGCTAAAGGTTTAAAAAAACAATATATATACAACATAAAACGTCAACAACATTAATACATCATCACATCCCCATCTCATCTCCAACATTATCAACATACAACATGACCCACCATACAACCAACATATATCAGCTTGAACAACATCATTCTACTACAGCACAGTGTCAACTTGAACATCATAACATTAACAATTCAAATTGTTTATGACAACAACACAACATTTACAACCCTACAACTACATGTCTCGTCACACATTTTAACTATGAGATTTTCTATAATACAGGGTGAACAATTTAAGTAGTTTGACCCTACCAAACCAACAACATAGGGTGATCTTTTTAGCTTGCTAGATCAACAATAAATTGAATATAAATCAACAATACAACAACTTGGTTTTTCGAATGTTGACACTTAAACAAGGAAATTTAGTACCATTGTCGGGGTAGAACAGTTGGGTATAGGCCTACCACAACATTAGCTAGCTTAATTAAGCCTCCTATGATATTAGTCTGTCGACTACCTTTCAAATACTACGCTCTTCTAATACTCGATTATTAGGAACTTAGTTCTCGACTTTATATTTTACTCACTTGGTCACTTGTAATTAGTATAATTCGACCTGACCCCTATACTATAGTCGCTTTATACACATATACCTTGACCTTACCCATACATGATACTAACTAAGTCCTAGAGGAGTTTTAACACAGTTATCCACTTCAAGTATCAACTTTTCAAAAAGGGTTTTAAACAAATTTGGGCTCTCGGAGCATCACAATACAATATCTACAGAATGAGATATGCAACTTTTAGAAACCTTTCCTCTAGTCCTGGTCATCACAGCTCAACCACACTATGTCTAAATGCCCAAAGCATTCCTAGCATTCATCATCTTAAATAATACAACAACTTCTTGCATATTCAATATAGCCACACAACCAATACACAACTCCACAACTCACAACACACATCTCGACTCACATTCAACTTCTCAATCATCATTCATCTCAGAACATCATTGTATATAGAATAAACAACACTAAACAACTCTAAAGTATGCAAATATACTTTTATTCATCTTATATCCAACAATTCATCAAATAATTTAACATGTTTTCCTTCAGCAACCAACACCTGACGTCAAACGTTTGACGGATGGCGCCATCCAGACAAGGAACTCTGTCTCACCTACACCTGATGCTACACAACCCACACTCGGTGTGGATAAGGCAGAGGCTTGTAAGACTTCGCGCCTAGCATGGCAAGGTACCATGTCTGACCCCATCTCAGGCAAGGAGTTTCTGCTTGGCTCACGCCTAACGTCACCATACAAGCGTCCAACGTCATTTAGACTGAGAGTCCTATCTTGGCCACACTAGGCACCACTCAACCTTGGGCCTAGCGTCACCAAGTTAGAGACCTTCCAAGGTTTTCATGCTTGATGCCATTCAAACCCCGCCTAGTGCCATCCCAACTTGAGATGAGTCTCTCTCTCCTCATGCTTGACACCATCGATCGTACGCACGATGTGATAGAGATAGAGAGCCTTATGTTGGAACGATGCCCAACGCCACAAAGGTGCACCCAGTGCGATATTAGAATTCAACATGTGCAAAATACGATTTCGACCCAAAATCTAAAATCTAGCATAGATCCCACACATGCAACACAAGAATATACACATATATGCTATCTACAACTCATACAACACCATTTTCAACATGCAACTCATAATTCACTACAAACCCTAACTCTCCTTTGCAACTCACTTTGATTGACCAACTCAGCCATGAATTTCAATGGAAGTCATACAACATACAACTCAAGTGCTATTACATAGTTGAACTACTCAATCAAAATCATTAAGTCCAACTTCCCTTCAAATCTAAGGAAAAAGAAGAGAACTCAAAACTTCGCACTACCACACCCCAAATGAATTGAGCGGATGGATTCAAGTCCCTAAGCACTTGAATTCATTAACAAGACAACACAAAGGACGAGAAGATTTAAAGAAAAGAGAAACTCACATACCAGAATCCTTCTCTCTAGATTCCTCTCTCTAAGCTTTTGAGGAATAAAGTTTATAAGATTATTCAAAACAGAAACATTGTATACTCTTTCTCTTGGGGTCAAATTGTCCCTTTGCCCAGAGAAACTCCCAACACTACTGAAACTCCTAAGAGATCCTTAAACTCTAGAGTCTCTTAACACTGAACAATAATCCAACTTAACAACATGAAAATGAACTAAATTAATTACAACACTATGACTTATATTGTTACAACGAGAGGGTATTTAGGAATTCTTTTAAACTTAATATCTAATTTGGTTTTATTTATAATTATTTATGAATTAAATTTTAATATTTTAAAATAAATTATCAATAAATAAAAATAATATTGTATTACAATGTAAATTATTTATCATAAATGTAAAATAAATTTCATATATTAAAAGATATCTACATATTCAAATTTTAAATATAATTTTTATATTTAAACATTGTATTTATTTATATACATAATTTATTTTAAATTTTAATTATATATAAATATTTAACATGTACATTGTTCATGCTATAATACTAGTTATATATAATAAACATACATGTGCATTACATAGGCTAAAATACTAGTTATTCTTGTAAAATGGAAATATGTTAAGGATGGTTTATAACATGGTATTTATTTAAAGGAAATTTTTTTCTTTAAAATTATGAAGTGTGGTTTTGGCAATTTTCAAATGTTGTTCAGAATGACAGGTGTGGTTTTGAGTTTCTTTTTATCAAAGTTTTCTACATTCGTTATAGATTTAGAATGGGACTTCCTTCTCTTGTCATTGGCATTTGACGCTTACCAAGGGAAATCTTGATCTGGTTGGACAAATATGGTTTTTCTATTTCATCATTTCATGCTTTTAATATGAGAACAATTTAAAAAACGCAAGTGATTCCTCAGAACTACAAGATTAACAGCATGCTGGATTCACGTGAAGTCGTTCAAGAAGCAACTTTAGGTAGCTTTTGTGTTGATCAACAATTTGGTATTAGTTTCACTATTAACTAGCTTTTAGAATAAAAACAAGAGAACGTAAATCACATTACATCATATCAAAATTAATTTTAACCAAAATTAACTTTTGCAAAATCAATTTCATTTGTAAATGTTCACTCAAACACACTAATACTTCATACAGCTAATGTGTCCTGCTAGATTTTTTTCTTGGAAAATCTGAAAGTGGGATACAAATAGGATGATATTGAACAAAACTTAAGTACAGTTTCTTATGTGCGATTATCCAATCATAGTTAAAGTTTTTTTTCAATAGTATGTATTTTTATTTAATGCAGGTCTCAAGTCTCGTTAACATACACTTATGCATGTTACCAAAGTAAATCTCCAATTTTAATTAGATAATAATACTAAAGGCACTTAAGTTTTGTCTTTTGATATTCTGCAAGCTGCAACAGCTACAGTGAATAGTTAGCCCTCTAAATGCCTTTGATGCATAAGTTGTGGAGTTAATATCCTTTACAAGAGAAAGGAGGGTTTTTCCTTAATTTGTGAATTTCTCCTCACATTTAACATTTTATCCTCATTCAAAATAATGACTGCTATATATATTTGCAGGGAGTCTCTGCAGTGGGGGCATTCTTTGAACTTTTGAGCCATTCAAGCTTGAATGTGTTGCACCCTGGAGAAAACAAGCCGGTTGCTCCTGTTGAACTCTGCCCCATTCTGAAGACACTGTATAAAATATTGATATCCAGGTTAATAATAATTTCTTGCAACCATTATATGCCTCATCTTTGACATCACCTCTCCAGTTTATAACTTTGAAAACCAATTTAAATTGGGCTTAATTACACTTTTTATGTCTATATTGTAGTAGTATGTGTGATTCTAATTGCTTGCATCTGATCCTTATAGTTTCTCGATTATTAACATTGAATTTCTCACCTAAAATTCCATTAAATAATTAATAGGAATTAGGAATGAAAAGGAGTTATGATGCAACATTTATTTTTATAAACTAATAAAGGAAAAATTAAAAAAAATTAATAAAATGTTTAAATAAAATTGGAAATAATAAAACAATGCCCAATATCAGTACATTGAAGTCAACTTTATTTTATTTTGATTTAAATGATTTATATATTTTTTTTTCTTTATGCATTTTTACAAATCAATGTTATGCATCAGTTTCATTTCATTTTCGATAGTTATTAAATGAAATTTGGGATGAGGAACAATATTTAATAATTAAAAAATTATTTGGACTAAATGTGAATAAACTAATGAAACTAAAATTGTAGATAGACTTAGGTTAAATTCATCTACTAGAATTGGCCTAATAGTTGAGAGGTTGAAATACATGAAGACTAAGGTTTGAAGACTAAGGTTTGATATTTGAGTTAATCATTCATATACGGTCAGTGTAAGTTTTTTACACTAACAACCAATCATCTTTTAAATTATTTTATTTTATTTTTATTTCATTAATAAGCAACTGACATGACACTATTAAAAGATATGATTGGTTGTCAGTGTAAAAAATTTTTACACTGACAGTATATAGGTGATTAACTCTTGATATTTATTGTTGTTTTGTATCTTGACTATGCTGTGAGTTTCTTTTTCTTGCTTCTTATGCATATTGCATTTCTCAGGGAACAGTCATCACAAGCTATTCTCCAAGCTCTTAGGGATGAAAATCTGAATGATCCACGTGAACGCATCGAGATTGCACAAAGCCATGCTTTCTACATGCCTTCACTTCTTGGACAACCGTGATTATTTTATCTTGGCAACATATATATGGACACCATTATATTTCATGAATTTTTTATGGCTTAGAACATATGATATTATGATGCATTTTGCAATTCAAACAGTGTTTAATCCAGGACCATTTCGAGGGTGGAAAAACACACACCCTCATTTTGGAAAAATCAAAAGCATAGTAAATTTTGATATTTTGCATCCCCTTATTTTTATTTTTAACTCACTAAATTCAAAGTCAACATTTAATCCACTAGCTCTAAGTACTGCAAGAGGCGATCTAATGATAAGAGTTAAGGTAATATGCACTAAGTTCTAAGTTGTCTCATTGTAAATGTTATAGATAAAAAAATAAAAATAAAAATAAAAACCACCAATAGTATTATAATTTTGAACTCAATAATAATAAATATTTTTTTTTATTATTTTAACATCCATATATTTATCTTAATACTAATAATAATTATTATAAGTTTTATTTTTGCTGAATTGACCCACCACGTAAGGTTCCTATCTCCCATTGGATATTTAAGCCACCAATCCATGGCCCAACAAAAAGGACTTATGACTGGCTGGAGCGAGCTAGTCCATTAGCCCAACAATTTTTTTTTTTGAAAAAAATTATATGAAAAATTAGTGTAAGATATCATATTTTTGTTTCATTTTGACGTAAAAGTAATTTATTGTGGATAATTTTTTTAAGTATTAGAGACAACAAATACAAAAGTTAGAGGGAAAGACGGTTAAAAATCATCAATTGAAAATGTGAAAGAAATATTAAGTAATAGGAGTTTTAAATTGATTCTTTAATATTTTTGATTTTCATTTTTTATTTATCTTTTATACTTTTTTTAACAAACTAAAATAATATCTGTACCTGTCAAAAGGATACACCGGTAATCTTATAGTCTGAGGGTCGAACGAGTACTCCGATCGAATTTTTCGGTAAGCCGTGGGTGGAGATACCTGCAGAAGGCACTCCGACGCTCAAGTCAGAATAAACACAAATATCGATGACAATTAACGAACAGTGACATTACCTTTTGACGTGAGATATTTATACTGACATCCATGGGCCCTGGTGTCCTTGGGCCCCGTGACGACTATCGTATTAGGTAATACGTCCTTAATCAGCATATGGATATGATTATCTCTTAACTCTTGATTAGGGATAATCTTACACTCCTGATTGAGGATCTGGGTTATTATAGTGGTCGATGCTGATCGGCCACCTGGCTCGGCCATCTGGGTGCCGATTAGGTATCGGCAACCTGATTCGGCCATTCAAGTGCCGATTGGGTGTCGGCTAACTGGTGACCGAGTGGCCCTACTAGTACACTTGCCCCCTAGCCTTGGGGAAGGTATAGCTTCTTCAAGGGGAAAGAGATGGAGTTATGTCGAATGGGGAGGTGAAGGGTTAAGCAATCTCTACCGTTGAGTCTTGAAGATCAGCCGGTTATACTTTTCCAAATATTTGAAGTTTCCCGCCTATTTCCCTTGCTATATATAGGGATGAGTGGTAGGGCCTCTCCTACACATTGCTCTCAGCCGAATCACATTCTCTGAACGAGTTCGAAGAGCTAACCGTGCGCTCCGAGTGACCGTTTCAAGCTTTGATTTTTGGTAAGTTTTGTTCTTATGGCTACTTCTTCTGAGAGCTCTTCGACCAATGAGACTCGGTCGTCATCATCCGAGGGGTCTTCATCCAGGGGTTCGGGGCATGCATGCGTGGAGATACCACTGAATGGCACCGAATGAAGATAGGCGGTCCAGCGATAGTGGGAGTACATCCGAAGAGACTTCGACCAGTGGGAGCCAAGAGACGCCGATTAAAGCGAAACGTGTCTCGAATCGGCAAAGATACGGGCCATCCGAAGTGCTGGAGTACGAATTGGTGAATGGCGAGGTAACCTCATACTATTCTCGCTACCAAGAAACTTCAATGATTACAAATTTGTTGGAGTACACCAAGTGTTTGAACTTCGATGTTAAAGAAGAGCCATATCCGATTGGGATTCAGGCTTGTCAAAACAACGCCTTTCCCAATCCGAGCCGTATCCGATTGGGATTCAGGCTTCTTTTCCAATCACGACATGGTATGCTTGGACAAACAGGCCGACAGGATGGCGTCCTTCTATATGTACGATTGCCTGTTACGAGATTTGAAGGTTAAGCTGCCATTCGACGAGTTTACGATGGGGGTACTTAGGGTTTTGAACGTAGCGCCGACCCAACTTCACCCAAATAGTTGGGCTCAACTTCAAGGCTTCAAGCACTTGTGCCGATGTGTGAACATTAGGCCTTCACCATTACTTTTTCTCTATTTCTACTCTTCGCGGCCTTCGGATTTAGCCAAATGGGTATCTCTTAACCGAGTGGGGACTCGGCAGCTTCTGGATAGTTTTACCTCATCATATAAAAATTTTAAGGCTAGATTTTTTCGAGTAACCATTCGTCCGAATGGGCGTTGTTTCTTCTTCGGGAATGATGAGAGGAGTTTATTTCCTTTGTACTAGACGCGTGCCCCTCGGCCATATGATGAGGTGTCGGACGAGCTTCTCACCGCCGAAGAGCTACGAGATGTACAATTTTTGCTTCAATTGCCTCGGCGCTTGCCGACGAGGTCACTAATTAATGTCCTCGAATCACCCGGATGGGAGAACGACTTGATAGGTACGTGATTTGTCCCTTTTTTTGCCTTAAGCTAAATGCATATTGATGTTCACTTGAATGTTTTTTGTAGGAATCATGGTGGTGGCTGGCGCTGATCAATTCAACATTCGGAACTTACTAGCTGGCCGAATGCAGCAGGCCAAAACTTCGGGGGCTGTAGGTAGCTCGTCAATTACCCAAACTCCTCGGCCAGAGCAGGATAACCGAAGCCCTCCTTCTCTGACTGTAAGCAGAAGAAGGGGAAGAAAGGGAAGGGAGCTGCTCAAGAAGGTCACAAGAGGAAGAGTGCCGAAGAGAGGCCTGAGAAAAGTAAGAAATCAAAGCAGACCGTGGCTTCTCCGGGCAGAACTGTAATTTGTGTGCCTCCTGCTTTGATGTCAAGGAACTTCTGGGGCGAGGGTGCTTCGGCCGACTCTCTAATTCGGCCTGACAGTATTTCAGAGGAAACCCGAGAGTTTTTGGGGCAATTGGATGTTGCCTCAAAATGGAAATACTATTGTGAGGTACAGTCTCGGTCCTTGGTGCTTGCGCATCAACTTGCCATGGGTCCGGTCGGCGAGCTGATGCAACTGAGACAAAGGCTTGGGGATGCCGAAAAGACAACGGCCGAGGCCATGGCAACGACCGATGAAGCCCTTGCCAAGACTCGCCAACTTGCTGCCGAACTGGAACGTAGCGCCGACCCAACTTCACCCAAATAGTTGGGCTCAACTTCAAGGCTTCAAGCACTTGTGCCGATGTGTGAACATTAGGCCTTCACCATTACTTTTTCTCTATTTCTACTCTTCGCGGCCTTCGGATTTAGCCAAATGGGTATCTCTTAACCGAGTGGGGACTCGGCAGCTTCTGGATAGTTTTACCTCATCATATAAAAATTTTAAGGCTGGATTTTTTCGAGTAACCATTCGTCCGAATGGGCGTCGTTTCTTCTTCGGGAATGATGAGAGGAGTTTATTTCCTTTGTACTAGACGCGTGCCCCTCGGCCATATGATGAGGTGTCGGACGAGCTTCTCACCGCCGAAGAGCTACGAGATGTACAATTTTTGCTTCAATTGCCTCGGCGCTTGCCGACGAGGTCACTAATTAATGTAGTCGAATCACCCGGATGGGAGAACGACTTGATAGGTACGTGATTTGTCCCGTTTTTGCCTTAAGCTAAATGCATATTGATGTTCACTTGAATGTTTTTTTGTAGGAATCATGGTGGTGGCTGGCACTGATCAATTCAACATTCGGAACTTACTAGCTGGCCAAATGCAGCAGGCCAAAACTTCGGGGGCTGTAGGTAGCTCGTCAATTGCCCAAACTCCTCGACCGGAGCAGGATAACCGAAGCCCTCATTCTCCGACCCGTAAGCAGAAGAAGGGGAAGAAAGGGAAGGGAGCTGCTCAAGAAGGTCACAAGAGGAAGAGTGCCGAAGAGAGGCCTGAGAAAAGTAAGAAATCAAAGCAGACCGTGGCTTCTCCGGGCAGAACTGTAATTTGTGTGCCTCCTGCTTTGATGTCAAGGAACTTCTGGGGCGAGGGTGCTTCGGCCGACTCTCTGATTCGGCCTGACAGTATTTCAGAGGAAACCCGAGAGTTTTTGGGGCAATTGGATGTGGCCTCAAAATGGAAATACTATTGTGAGGTACAGTCTCGGTCCCTGGTGCTTGCGCATCAACTTGCCATGGGTCCGGTCGGCGAGTTGACGCAACTGAGACAAAGGCTTGGGGATGCCGAAAAGACAACGGCCGAGGCCATGGCAACGGCCGATGAAGCCCTTGCCAAGACTTGCCAACTTGCTGTCGAACTGGACGTGCAGAGGCGCAACAACGATACTCTTCGGCTGGACCTTCAAAAGGCAACCAACGAAGAGCAGCGCCGAGCAGAGGAGGCCAAGGCCGAGTTGGAACGATTAAAAGAGGAGGCGCAAGATCGCATCGTCGCCCAGCATGAAGCCGGCTTTCGGCATGCTCTTCGTTAGGCTAGGTACTTCGGTCACTTTCGGGAAGGTTTTGAGTTTGACATGACTAAAGACTTTTACCAGGGGTCTTTCATGTCTTTCCAAGATATGCCCGAGGGAGCCATCCCCGATAGCGATGAGCCGACTGACTACCCCGAAGATGAAGACACCCACGATGTTTCAGGTGATGAGGTTGAGAATGAGCAAGAGGAGCCGAACCAAGACCAAGAGGACGAGCCTGAGACACAAGAGGATGCTCCGAGCCACCCCGACGAGTGACCATTGACTTTGTCTGTAAGGGTCGATAGAGCCCTCATTGTATCTCAGGTTGATAGAACCTGCCCTTTTTTGATCAATGAAAAAGACAATGTGTTTGCGTACCGGAAAAATGTTGTATGTCTTTAACTTAAAACAATTTAAGCAAAAACTTTAGCTGAATTGAATATTCCATACTGCGTGTTAAGCCAAAATCGAAGGAGGTCTTTTGAGATAGTTACCTTCATGGGGACAACATCGATTGGACTCACTTGGAAGCGCGTACTTTTGGCTCAATACCGAATGAGTGTATTCGGAT